ATTCAGGTCCAGTCACCATAAGGGACTTTCAGCAATTTATCTGCAAGACACAAACCAGGCTAAAGCTCTGAACATGGCCCTAAAGCCACCCTAATTCTTGCTCTGTGATGTCAAGCCAAGGAAGCTACTTTCTAAGAATGACCCAAGCTATGCCTACAAGGCATCAGCTCCCAGCTCGGCTTAGCACCCCAGTAAATGAGGCCTGCCTTGAACTGCAGGGCATGGGACCTGGGTATAGCTCAGTGGTACAGCACTTGGCACTTGCCTAGCATGCTTAAGGGTTCAATTCTCAGCACTCAAAAATGAAAAAAAAAAAAGAAAAGTCAAGGCCCAGTGTGTACCAGAATGTGATGAGATCAGGCACAGGGCTATCACTTAAAAATGCTTTTTGGCAGAATGGCATTTTGAAGAAGAGAAGAAAGGGAGAGAGGCATAACAAATAGAAGAGAATGAAAGAGAAGCTTGACTTTAGCAGAGATAATGTGATCACCTGTGTGCAAAATCCTGCAGTCCAAAGACAGGTGGGAGAACTTGTCTTGGGGATGGATTTATGATAGCCTGACTGCACCTCCAGGGTTTGGAGTCCCCACTAACTGCCCCCGACTGGCTCAGCCACCTAAACCATGTAGCAGCTGCTTCTGGCCCTAACCTCACCAGCTGGTTCTCCCCGAATCTCTAAGAATCCACTCACCCAACTTCTTCACTTTCAGCTTTGAAAGGGCTCCCGGATGCTGAGGTAGAGAGCTTCCATAGCATGCACAAGACCATCGGTTGGATCCCCAGCATCTCAAAAATGATCCAAAAAAGACTCTAGAATTTTCATTCCCCTGTGGGGCTGGGATGTAGCTCAGCAGCAGAGTGCGCTTAGCTTGTGTGGGGCCTTAGATTCCATTCCCAGCAGCACACAAATAAATAAAATAAATAAACAACAAACATATAGTAAGCATACCTTGTCTCTTCTCTACCCCCATCTCCCTCCAGCAACCATCGTCTCTGCGCTTCTCCCCTATGTCTGCCACACTGACTTTTGTTTCCCATTCTCAACCCCTACTTTTCTAACAGCCCCCTAAAGGGCTAAATCTAAAACTCTGGGGCTTTTCTGCGGGTCAACCTCACCTATCCACCTACCTCTCAGCTTTCTTCAAACCACTCTCTTGCTAGCCAGCCACTAAGAGGACTGATTATTCCCTTCAGTGCCCGGTTCCTTCACTGGATACCCCAACTTGCTCACACTGGTGCTCCCCACAGCTGCATTTCCAGCAAGCAGCTCTCATGGCTGCCAAGTCCATGGTTGGCTGGGATCATCACTTGCATATCCCACAGGGACCTCAAATCCACCTGCCCCTCCACATCAGCTTCCTGGTTCACCCTTTCTCCATGAGGTGTGACCTGATACCTAAAGCAGGCACTCGGGATTCCTGCTGGCAGTGCCCTCCCCACCATATCCTAGTTACTTCCATCACTGCAAACCCTGCCTGTGCCCAGGCTCCCATCATTCTGACCTTGCACTGAGAGGACTGGACCCCTGGTCTGAGTTAGGGTACAAACTGGTGAGAAGGATGGGTGGTCAAGACTGTGCTGACAAAGCACTTTAAACTCATGGACAACATTAGCCTGTATCAGAGTAGGAAGGACAAAGATGACAGAGATTACCAGAGGTTAAATCCCCTCTACTCCTGCCTGCCTGGCTCCACCGGGGCCTTTCCACCACCCCAACCCTCTGACACCTCCACTGTCAAAGTCTCCCTCTGAGAAGTATCTCAAATGTCTTGGCCTGCTTTTAACACTTTGATGATTCCTTAAAATGAATGACTCAGAAGTAGTTCCCACTTACACCTCCACACCCCCAGAAGGTTCCCCCACAAGCATTCACAATCCTGTGCCTTTGCCCAAGCTGTTCACTCTGCCCAAGCTGTTCACTCTGCTCTTCCTTTCTTTCTTCACCTGAATAACACCCACATGAATAACACCTGTCACTCAGTGAGTATTTGTCTTAGGTCAAACTGGCTCAGGTCGCAAATCAGGAAAGATTCAAATGTCAACACCTTTGCTTTTCTTCATACAAAGAACACTCTTTGGATTGGTATGACTTAGACATAGCATAATAATCACTACAAGGTCTAATTTTCTAAACAGATGCTTCTAATTGTACAGCAGTGATTTATCTTATTTTGCACTCATTCAGCACCTGAGAAACTGTATATAAAAGACACCCAGCTGTGCATCGTTTTTTGGCTTCCTTGCCATCCACTGCTCCCCACCACCACCAAATCCTCTCCTGGGACTCAAGCCCTGCAGTGGTCCCACAGGAAAACCTGCTCTGGGAAGCTTGGGACCCTCACTCCCAAAGGTATTGCTCCATCCTTCCTCACCCACCCCCTGCCAATTCCCCTAGGTGCTGCTGGAGGTCGATAAAGCCATCTCTTCATAGGACAAACAATCCAAAAAGGGACCTCAAATCCCAGAAAGAGGCAGCAACTTGTCAGAGGCCATCAAGCAATTCTGTGGGGGTGGCAGTCAGGCCTGGGGCCCTAGGACTGACATCTAGGGATTTCAGGCCAAGCCATCTTCTCCAGTTCTATAGCCTGTGATCCTCTGTCCCAAATGCCACACATAATTAGAAGTTATAATCCTGTAATTCTATGATGACATCTTTGAACTTAAATATACTTCAAAACAGCTTTTTTTTTCTTTTAAAGGTAAAAGCAACATAACAAAAAAAAGGAGCTTCCCTATTAGTCTCTGCATTTCCAGATTCCCCTCCTGTCCTACCGTCACTGCCCCTCATCAGTGAGCAAAAACTCAAACTGGTCAGTGTCACATGGGAGGAGAATGATGCCAAGACCAAGTAGCAACAAGATAGGCAGGCTGTGGAACAAATAAGAATTGATTGTCCTGTAGGAAACAGTTTCACTTCCCTATTTATAATTATGCACCGTGCCTTCGATCCTATCTGCTATAAAAATGTCAACGACAATCTCTCAACCCACCTAGTCATCACTGGCCAAGCTCCAAAGGCTATTTTTAAACTCATCAGGACCTGCAAGGAGGAAGGTGTGGAAAGTGTCACTGTGACTTCCAGCTCAAAAGCATCTTTCCTGGCCCTGCCACCTGTGGGCTTGCCCAAACCCCCAGCTGACCCTGGTCACTTGGTGATGGGATGGGGGGAGGTGGAAGGGTGTTCTGGGGATCGAACCCAAGACCTTCCTACTTAAGCTATATCCCCATCTTCTTTTTATTTGTTTATTTTAAAACAGGGTCTTGATAAATCGCTAAATTAGCCAGGCTGGGCCTGAACCTGAGATCCTCCTATTTCAGCCTTTCAGAGTGCTGTGAGAACCGGCGTGCGCCACCGGGCTCAGCTCTGGGGTGGGCTTTGGGGGAACTGAGCTTAGTTCCAGAACGGGAGGCAATGGGGAGGGCCGAGCCTTGGAGCCCGCACTCGACCGCCGAGTCTGACAAGCAGATAAATCCGCTTTCGCATAAAGTAAGAAGGGCCGAGACCACCGCGTTCAGGCCCTTCAGGGCGACCCGGGACAGGCGAGTGGGCGGCGCCCGAGGTCCCTTTCCACAACCGCTGCCCCTAGGCCGTAAGAAGTCGAGGAGGCGGACCCTGGAAACACTGTGGAGGAAAAAGACGGCCAGCCGGCCGGAGTGGTCGCTCGGGCGCAAGCTAGGCTC